TTGCAAGTGCAGGGCCACCCGCTCATTCTTGCAAAGTGCTGGTGATTATGTAGAATGTCCCCGACATATTTCCTTTTCTGCCAGACAGTTCTCATTCTACCAATCAACAAGTCAGACAAACAACTTGGGGAGATCATCCCTTTCAAACAATCCTTAAAACAAGCATGCACTTTCTTCTTACTTACCGAGTCTGAAAAAGGTAGTTTCACCGTTATCCGGTGTCTAGGATTAATTCCAAAAACCTTTTTGGTAACCCTTGTGATAATACCCCTGGTGATTTGTCTACCCCTTGTTGAGTTTAACAACTTAATTCCTGCGTTTAATCTCAACAGTTCTTCTATTTTCATTTCATACAAAGTCTTCCTCTTCCAAGGGGATCTCAATATAGTGATTACATCAGCCTTAGCCATTTCTGACTTGTTCTTTGTCCTTATCAGGTTTGTTACAAACCATTCCCCACCCTCTTGGATAAATGGTTTCACATCCTTTAATAAGAACTTCTTCCCTAGAAATTCAACAGTACTGAAACCAAATAACAATTTAACTAGCCCCCATGGTTTAAGTCAATAATCCCCTGCACAGTTAAAGAGTCTAAGCCTCTTCACATTAGCTGCCCTCTTCAATATGTTCAAGAGACTATGCTCACCTTTGATGTTCAAATAATCGTAATCAAACAAAATCGACTTTTTACACGGTTCAAAGTCTTTCTCAGCCTTCCGTTGTGTTGTAGGCTTCCTCCGAGATGGTTTGTGATTTACCTTTCTCGTATTCAAAGCAAGGTTGAGACTTCGAATGACAACATCTTCCATGCAACCAAGTGAACTCTTGCTTCCAAACCACAATGGCAAGACAACATAATTCTCTACACCAACTTTACCCAACCATTTGTGCACTTTTTTTTTTTGTTCGGATTCGGTGGTCCTCACCTGTTCGTGCCATCGGGTTTTCAAATCCCTCTCCGTTTTTCCAACATAGGCGTTTTTGAAAAAAAGAGAGATTAAAAGATACACACAACAATTGTCATTTAGCAGCCTGTCCCAGTCAGTGGTACTGAGGTTCGTCCAGTACTTAACGTAGGCTCTACCCCATCTGATGTCTCCTCTGAGACACAGTGCAAGTACAATCAGCTTTAGTACATCACTCGTCTCCCTCCCAATGATCTTCTGATACTTCTTTCCAAGCTCAATCAGTCTCTTGCATACCCTCAATAGCGTTCTCTTACTAGTCAGATCTAGTTTCCCGCCAGATCATCTCCTTGTGATTCCTCATCGGACTCCGAACTACTACATATTTCTTCCCCTTCTTCCTCATCACTCTTCTTTACTTCCTCCTCATCCTCATCGGCCTTTTTCTCTTTCTCCTCCAGTTTCTGCAGTACCTCGAAATCCAACCTGACGAGCTCTCATACTCCTTCTTTCCGTTTGTACGGGATACCCTTCTTTTTGCACAGCGTCTGGATTTTCGTGTAGTGCAACGCATCATAATAGATTACCCTGTCCTTGAAATATAGTCCCAGTGACCCCTCTTCTTTCTCCCCTTCTTCGTTCTTCTCGGTCACCATCGTCATCTTTTGGGGTTCGCCAGCATCACCTTCCTGTTCCCCGCGCCCAAATCCATCTTCCCCTTGCTTTCTGTCTTGCCCAACAGCTGTATTGCTGCTGCCGGCAGCATGTGTTCCCCCCGCTAGCAGTTCTCTAAGCAGTTCCTTCAATTTCACCAAGTCCTTTCCCCCACCAAAGGAACTTTCCATTTTCCCGCTCAAATTTTGCACCACCCCGTCTTTTTCAATCTCCCTCCCCTCCTCATCCGATAGCACCTCTACAGGCTTCTGAGTCTTCTCTTTTCCTCGCTTTCTCAGGAGCGCTGATCTGGATCTTACCTTACCTTTCACTGGGCGAGACGGCGAAGCCATCTCCCTCTTCCTTTTTTCCGAGCTGGAGCTTTCCCTCAACTCCCTAAGTTCTTTTTCTGCCCGCAGCATCTTTAGCTCCTCCAATTCATCATCCTTTAACTTTGATTTTTTATCCACTTCCTCGAGTTTCTCTGCGAGTATTTTCAGAGACCCCCCAAAGTTAGTCGCAACCCATTTCTTCAGCACATGCTCCTTCCCATCATCGACGATCTTCCCTTTTCCCTTATCCTTCCCTTGCTTCCTCTTCTTTTCTTTAAACTCTTTATCTTTCTCCACTTCTTTTTTCTTTCCCCACTCCATCCCAAGCTCCATCAGCCTCGCTATTTCCTCAAGATCTTTTTTTCGTGCTTCGTCCACAGCATCCTTCAATTTCAATTTCTCAATGAAATCAGCGTGCTCCCGCGTGAAGAAGGCACAATTCTGGTAACCTTCATTCCCACGTCCATATCCCTGGCTATACTGCCCCCCCGATTGCGCAGGAGCAGAGGATACTCCAGCGAATGGCCAAGGCGCCTGCGGCTGAGCCCCAATGAAGTTCGGCGGTATCGGGTTATAACCAAGCGGATTCGAACCAAAGGGTGGGAAGAAAGGGTTAACCGGAGTTTGATAGGGGATGCTCCCTGAGAACGGAGCAGCTGGTGGTTGCGCCGGTGGGGGAGGAGGAGGGGTCTCCATCCAATATCTCCCACAATTCGACCACCTACCCCTACCCCGACCCCTACCACGCGCCTGCATGCGCTTCACAAATTAGGATAATAACACAATTGCAAATATATATATATATATATATATATATATATATATCAATAATCAGATCAAAACAAATGTCAGTACGTATAATCCTGTAGACTCTAGTGCTTGTGGGTATCTAAAGAACAGTTTCGATCACTCATGTGTCTGAACAAGCCAAACCCGGACGAGGTAGGATGGATTGATCAACCATACGATACCCGAACCAGCAGCTTGGACATAACCTCCCCCCGGCGGATGGTCCGTATCATCCAGACAAGATGGCGATATCTAGTACCCCACCCGCAATCCCAAGTACTGGAATGTTCCACCAGTGGTATGGAGACCACGCTCTTACGTTGGCCCCGACCGGAGGGTCGTAGTGACCAATCAACCTTAGCGACGTTCCGAAGCACTCCTCATGCCAGGTGTCTGCAACAAACAAACCAGGTGTCGATACTCAATGAGCGACCATCGACGCTCCAAAGCGCTCCACACGCCGGGTGCCAGCAACACAATCTTCCCAATGTTCTGACCGCTGCTTACTATCGAATGGTACGTACTATAAACGACGCTCCCCACGGGCCCGTCCGATGGATCGTATCGATCAATCAAGCATCGACGATTCTTTTCCTCATGCCAAGTGTCGTCAGCCCAATCTCCCGGTGTCGCCTGACAGCGCTGTCAACGACGCTCCCTTGATGTCTTCGCCCGATGGACGGGTAAGCAGATACCTACTCACATCACGTCCACGCTCCACACTCGATCCAGGGGCAAAGAGATGACCGAGTGCCAGTTCAGTCATGCCATGCGTAAAGTAGCAAAGATTCAGAGTCATGCGATAACCAAAGAAAAAATATATATAATAACAATACTAGCAAAGGAAAAAAATGAAAAGAAAAACAATGCACATCGGAGAAACCCGACGGCGCTGCTGGATCGTAGCCCAAGCTGTACTGCGAGGTCGATCATGCAGCTCTATCGCATAGATAATACAGAATCAGGTGTCGTGGACTTTAATATCACAGCAAAAAACACCCGATAACGCCGATGTAAAACACTCGTCAGCGCTCAGCCCTTCTCTCCTGCTGCTCAGGCTAAGAGGAGAAAGAACTCCCGAACTGTGCTTTTATCCTTATGAGGCTCGCCAAAATTCACCGAGTTACCGTTGGAAATGCCGTCGGCGCAGCGTTCAGGAAACCCGAGGAAAACAAGCCTACCATACGCCAACTCTAGTCTGCAAAAGAAAATTCATCGAGTTACCATTGGAAATGCCGCCGGCGCGGCGTCCAGGAAAACCCGAGGAAATCAAGCCTACCATACTACAAGCCAATCTCTTCCAATACACTCAGAAAAAAATAAAAAGAAAAAAGGGCTCCAAAGGAGCTCAAAAAAAAATATATAAAATAAAATAAAACTCTCCAAACAGCATTCATCTCAACCTTTGCTACTCCCATGCGGGGCTGACTTTCGAACCTTTCACTCAGCCCTTCACCAGTGGACCTTCCCTCTTTTCCTCTCCAGATTGTCCCTATGTGATGGGTTCCCTCCTACCGAACCTTTCAGTCATGCCACCAGGATTGATTTCCCCTGGTCTCTCGGGGATTGACTGTGTATCTGTGTTCACTAGCAGTCTAGCTACCCTCTGCTGTCTTCCTTCCATTTTGTTTTACATACAGTCTGAGCACAGTCTGAGTACTCTCTGTCTCTTAAACCCTAAACCCTTCCTCCCGATTTGTATCCGCTTTGGCCTTCCCCACATGTATGTCAGTCTTCCTGTCCCAGATTAGTCCTTCATTTTCATCTCTCTCCCCTGTACCATTCTATTTCTACTAGGTCGTTGGCGGGGGAGGGGGAAAGAAGTCCAAAAATTTGTCATATGGTCGCATTGGGATTGAGACATCTAGCTTGGTCCATTCGTGGAAGATGAGTCGGTAATCTCTGGTTGTCCCCTTGTTGCCCTTCATCCTCTCTTGTCCCATTTCTTCCCCATTCAATTCCACCTTTCCTATCTTCCCCCTGTTTCCCCCCGGGCCATTTTGTTGAATTCTTGTATCCGTTGTTTTATTTCACTTTGTGTATGTATGTGGCGAAATTGTGCTTTGACTTCTTTCCACTGTGTTGTTATGTTCGTGTGAATTTGTTGTTGTATGCTTTCCGTATATTATGGCGCTTTCCACCTCACTCCTTCCATCTTGTGGATACAGAGGCGTCTCCACAGGGCCCATAGTATTGCCCTGCGTCCGAGTTTGAACATATTAAGAGTGAAGTTGTCAAGTTGTTCAGCAGGCCATATCTCGAACAGTAGGGCTTTCCAATCTCGTGGCCAGGGTGCTCCTGTCCTGAGCTGGTCCCAGACCCTGTTCCACCAATACCAGAGCGAGACTGTTCTAAGGCATTGTAGAAAGATGTGTTCTATTGTTTCTGGGTTTTTTCCTGGATGAGAATGCGCTGGAGCAGAATCTGCACCAGGGTAGGGCAAGCCTTTTTTGTTTGAGTATTGACATGTCTATAAGCAAATTATCCGTTGGTAAGCACCAATGCTCTGCTTGACATTGCAGGAAAGCAAGATTCACTGGTTTCTTCTTAGTCTGCTGGAATCATTTCACTCTTCTTAGCGATTCCTTGCTAACGTTCAGGTGTTTCACCCATCTTGTTTCCACCTGCTCCCTCAGGTTAATTGTTGGTCGGAGCAGTCTGTATGTCGCTTTAACTGCTATGTTGTTTAGAGTTTTAGTGCATTTCTTGTCCCTACCAGTTGTGCTCCTTCACACCCACTCCAACAGGTCCAGGGGCAGTTGGGCTACCGGGGTGTCCGCGAGGAACGTCATCCATCTACCATTCACCCTTTTTTTTTCTTGGTTGGGGGGGGGGACTCCAATCTATTCGTGGGGAGCATCACGTGCTGAGAACCGGGCTCAGCGTCCCTTTGAAGTACAACTAAGAATATGTAACACATTTGAAGTTTCGGGGGCCTTACCCGGCTTCGGCTACGAAAACAATCAGTCGATTACCAAACCTGCAAAAACCTATGAGAAACAACTTTTTTAAAAACAATTGCAGTTCTCAGAAAAAAAAACTGCCTATGATCTACCCAATCACAATCCAAACCTAGAAACAAAATATCCTAACCAAAACCTCCTACTGTTTACACCTCCCCTTCAACAAGCGAAAAAACGTCAAGTCCAAGCGTTTAGTCCTCGTACCAGAACTCAGTTGATCTCATACCCCCCTATGTTAGGGTTACAGAGCAACACAAACTTCTTCAGTACCGACCAGCCTGGTTCAGACGGCAAAGAGTGTCTTCCTCCCTCGACACTCTCGATTAGCCACACGCCCCTAATTTACAGGAAAAACCCCTCGGGATCAGCTACGTCGGATAAACTGGTTATGCCTTCCTCCCTCGACATAACTCCACAAACCTCTTGCTCCCCCAGGTTACAGAGCAAAAGCTCCAGCACCGGTCTGCGTCGTCCCAACTTTATCCTTCTGACTTACTTACTTAGACAGACGTCCCTTCCCATGTTGAACCCCCCTTGCTTCCTCCCATCTTCCAGTTCTCACCTTCTCCTCATTCTTAACCCCCCCTCTAAACTAAGAACATCAACCTAAAAAACAGGAAGACAGGATTCAAAACAAAATCCCCCACGATCTCGCTCCTTCCCCGCACAACAGAGGAAAGAGTACTACCCAGGCATTCAGTCTACGTACCAGAACTCGCTGGATCTCATACCTCCCTTGCTAGGGTAACAGAACAACACCAACTGCCCCAGTTCTTACCAAACTAGTTCTGGCGGACAGGAAGTGTCTTCCTCCCTCGACAACTTCCTTAGCTGCACAACCCCCAAAGTTACAGGGTCACTGCCCCGGCATCAGCTACGTTGAACAAGATGGTTATGCCTTCCACCCTCGACATAGGTCCCATAGTCTCAAGCTCCCCTGGTTACAGAGCAACTGCTCCTGCACCGACCATTGTCACCCCACCCCGCCCTTCTAATAGACCTACCACCCTGAACACTCATCCATCCTCTGCCCAAGCACCACCCTGCTAAAACCAACCTTCCCCTTCCTTCTTACCTGCTGACGATGGGACAATGGGACGCCTTGAGGCCACTGGGAAGAATCATGTACCCAACATGAGGGAAGACAGCAGAAGATCGTGTCATATTGTAATGCCGCCACGGGGGAAGGAGGACAGCGGAAGTAGCACCCCATTCAAGGTCTGGTACATTCAGCAAAGTCGGGGGGTGAGAATGACCTGAAACCTCACGGGGTCGACGTGAACATCTGCACGTCCTCAAGACGCTGTGGCGAACAACTAGTATGACGACGACAGCATTAACAAACGTGGGAAACCATTGGAGATATACCACAAAAAGGAACCTTAGTCATTACGGGGCTCCCCTGATGTGAATCTGGAAACGGTCAGAACCTGCAAACCTGCAACTTGGCTCCAATTATAAGGTTGTGCTGGCTGGCATGTTGGAGCCCCTACTGACTTTTACTTGACTAACTTACCATGACTTATAAAGAAAGAGACTGTAATGTGCTGAGGATTTAGGGGTTCGGGGGTTAGATTGTACTCTCCAAAACCCCCACACGACGAAGTACCAGAAAAGATCACGACATATCAAGCGCTCAGAGGATGAGTGAAGAGGCACAAAGACTTCAACTGCAGACTTGGGTACAGACAAAATCCACACAGTTTGCAGCAGTCTCAAAAGATAACTAACACAGTCTGACATTGTTTAACACTGTTCAAAAACTCATGTTCCAAAGGGTGGGGGCAGGGGAACGGGAGGTCAACTTTGCCTGCATGCACTGGGCCCATTCATCGGTGATAGAGCCCGGCTCCATGAATGAAGCGAGATAACAACCATGGGGCTCGGGTTTGCTACCACCCAACTAAAGCTGGCATGTAAACAAACGAATTAGGTTACTGAGTAGGTATGTATCCTGACTCACAAATCACCTCCTTTGAGGATGGACTATACGACTATCGGTTACCACAATCAATGTCTATGTTAACAAGGAAACATGTTGTTCTGGGACGCTGGACCCGGTTTCCAGCAGGTGCAGCTCCCCACCAATAGATGGAGCCTCCC